GGGAGATGAATGGGCAATCTCCTCCCGTGCAATCAGCTGCCTCTGAAAACCCACCAGAGGGCCTGCTATGGGCCAGTGCTGACTCTCTCGTGCACACAACAACTAAATACACTAATTATGTTTGGCATGTTGCTAGGAAAGGCTACTCCTTGCAAAGGTCTTGGAAATGTGGAGGAGGGGAAGGTCCTTAACAACATGAGTTGACGTGGGGACTGTAACAAAGGGCTCCGGCGTGTCAGAGATGACGAGGATGACACAGGCTAGCACAGGGTTCAGGTCTGTCATTTACAGGGTCACTAGGGGCTGCTCTCGACTCCATGGCTCCTAACAACAATATGTGCACATTTCAATTCTAAGTATGGAGCATTTGAAAACCCTTCTGCACTGTTGTGGGGCCACTTAACTGTGGGACCATTAGTTATGGAAAGACTTCAGTTTTACTAATCATGCAAGGTGCACAGTGTGGACCTGTTGACACTAAGACTTGGTCTTCATTTTCCAGATAAGGAACTCTACTGCACAGAGCAGACCACACACAAGAATGCAGGGCTGTTCACAGGAACAAGACCCAGGAAAAAATTAGTACATCTTAGAATAAACAGATAACACATTCCAGCATTTTAACACAAGGAGCTCTGGTCACCTCGTGGAAAAAGTGTGCTGCAAACCTGGGGATGTACAGTTCAAATCTACCACCTGCTCCACAGGAGAAAGATGGGCAGTCTCCTCCTGGGCAATGTATTGCCTCTGAAAAGACGTTGGGAGTCAGCTATGGGTCAGTACCGACCCTATGACACAGCAACAATGCTAATACAAAGGAATGCTTAGTGTTGCTGAAATGGAATTCTTTAAAATACTACACCACACTGCAGTCCTGAAGGTGTGCGGTTCAAATCCATCAGATGGTCTACTGGAGAAGGAGGGGCAAACTCCTCCTGTGCCAGTCGGATCCAATTTGATGGTACACTGAATTAAAAAAAAATTAAAATAGTACGCCAACATCAATCACAGAGAAAATGTTAAATGAAAAAGCAGTGTGTCACCGAAAAGTCCGAACAAAATGACTCAACTTAAAGTCTGAAAACAAAATAAAAGCCATTTTAATAATTTAAATATTTAATAAACACTAAAATAAAGGGCAGAGCAAATGACTGGCAAATACTAAGTTCAAGTTGAGGTTTGCTGTCAGAGAGGAAAACAAGATGAGGAAGCTGAGACCCATCGAATTTCCGAGGCTGGAAACCACATGGGACAAGATTTCCCATCTTGCATCCATAGAGCAGTGGGTGGGCTTGAACCAGAGTAGAGGCACAGCCTTTGATCAGCACAATTCCCTAAGAACTGTGTGCCTCATGGTCCCTGAAAGGAATAGCGGCTTAAAACGTCTCACAGTAATCTCCCTTAAACCAATTACGTCACACAAGGACATGCATGCTGTTATTTCTGTATATCCATTGCATGTTCCCCATGCCCAGTAATGTGCTCTGGGGTGGTACTCCGGAGGGCAGTGCACTGCTCACCCAAAGACCTGGCTCTCGGGAGATTCAAATCCAGCGGCTGCTCTGCACGGAAGATAAAGACCACCTCCTCCTGGGCAACTTACAGCCTCTGAAACCATGCTGAATGGCCAGCTCCAAGAAACCACACTGGAGGGTCAGCTCCGAGAAACCACACTGGATGGTCAGCTACAGGAAACCACACTGGATGGTCAGCTCCGAGAAACCACGCTGGAGGGTCAGCTCCGAGAAACCACACTGGACGGTCAGCTCCGGGAAACCACACTGCAGGGTCAGCTCCGAGAAACCACGCTGGACGGTCAGCTCTGAGAAACCACACTGCAGGGTCAGCTCCGGGAAACCACCTTGGATGGTCAGCTCCAGGAAATCACACTGGACGGTCAGCTCCGAGAAACCACGCTGGAGGGTCAGCTCCAAGAAACCACACAGGACGGTCAGCTCCGGGAAACCACACTGGACGTCAGCTTTTAATCAGTTCCAACTCAACACCACCAGTTAGTGAGTAAGTTAATGTAAACAGTAACTTTAAACATGACTTTGGCAGCATGTAAAAGTTGATAGATACACAGAATATACACAGAACAGCTACAATGTTCATGCTGAGAAGAAAAAGAGGAGGAGATGGAGAGAGAAAGACAAGTGAGGGGGGGATGCAAATACAGTGCAGGTGGTTTAAAAATGGGTGACCCTGGAGGACGT